CTCCCCCTTCTGATCTTCCAATTCCTCCTCTGCAAAAGGAAAATAGGACTATTATGATTTTCTAAGATTTATTCAGTTCTGAGATTTTTTTTTAATTCATTACTATTTCCAAAAATCTACTGTTTTAGGTAATCTGACATAGCTCTCCCTTTCTAATCATAAAAGCTAGATGAGAGAGAGCTATCTTTCCTAGTTTACAGTAAGAGAGCTAGATATATTCCCTGGTTTATAGTGAGAAATTAATGGAGAGTAAGTAAACTACACAAATCACAATAGCTAATTGCCTGTAAAATCAAAACCAAATCTTTCTAATCCTGAAAATCATCTTTCTATTTGACCATATCGACATCAGTTTCATAGTGCTGTGAATCAGCACATGTGAAAGCAGGTCAGACTCCATTTCCAGGGAGTCCAAATAAGTCAGGTCCACTACCAGCGGTAAGGCAAAGAAGTAAAATGGATCATTCCCAGCTACTGCTTTCTCCACATTATCACTTCTAGAGAAATTATAACATGCCCAGTTCTTGTTTAGAACACGTTAGGAGATTGACGTTTTGGCAGAGTTATTAGAGAACTTCTCATTAGAGATTGCTCTCATCTTTTTGAAGACTTGGCTTATTAGGTTGGGAACGATAATATAGGACCTAACGAGGGTCTGTGAGTAGTTAAGTAGTGCAGGTTCCTCAGAACTGTCTTTTGACTAATGGCCCTTATCTCTCAGAAGGATTGCCACATATAATTTTAGAATTCAAAGGGACCTTAAGAGTTATCTGTTCAACTTGCTGTAGAGTGCAATCCTGTGTGGTAGTCTTAGTAGGAGGTCACTGCCTCTTTCAGTTATTATGGTGGGAACATAAAGTAAACTGATAAATATTGTATTTGTGTGTAGAGTATGGAGTTCAAATTAAATGAAATACAACTTCACTGTCGGACAAAATTTGGAGTGTTTATAAAGAATTCTGGTTATTACTAGGATGAAATATTGGAAAGAATAATTCAGTGTATGAAGTGTACAAAAGTGAAAAGTAGAAAAACAGTATTTAGACCAGAGAAAAGAATAAGGGGAATGGAGTGGATTAAAACACCTTCTTTGGACAGATTTGAAGGTCTATCATATGAAGAGGGCAACTTCTTTGTTTCTCCAGAAAGCAGATTTGGAGTTACAAAACATTTTTTTAAGATAGTTGAGGCTATTAAACCATGGAATGGATTGACTTGTGATGGAGTATCTTGCTCATCAATGGAATATTCAAATGTTAGATGACCTCTTCTCATAGGGAAACCTGTTACTCCTCTGATAATTCTCTATAGTACAACGAAGTAAGGTCCTCAGGCTGTTTTCAGCCCACTGCTTGAATTTTTTTTTTCCCCCTCTTTTTGATTCCCCTCCCCCCACCACTACTTCCTCCCCTGACCTACGGATAGTGCCAGGTGCCGAAGGTGCCGAATGGTGTCATCTCCACTTAAGAAGTGGATCTCTGAAGGCAGGGCATCTCATCCCATGCGCTCGCAGTGTGCACCCGGGGCCTGGCGCACCCGGGGTATGGTCCATGGCTCCACCTGGGGCGCGAACCCAGGACCTTCTGCGTGTAAAGCAGATGTGCTAACCACTACACTATGGAACCCCCCTCCACACCCCCACAATTGCCTGATTTTGTAAACAAAGTTTTATTGGTACACAGCACTCCTAACTAGTTTATATACTGTCTTTAGCTTCTTTCATGCTACAGTAACCAAGTTAAGAACTTGCAACAGAAGCCATGTAGCATGCAAAGCCTAAAATATTTGCAGTCTATGTCTTTACAGACAATGTCTACCAATTTCTCCTCTAGAGCCAGGGAGAAGTAATGTTGGCTCAGATAGATTTACAAAGTAAAGTGGTTGACAAAAGAGTTCCTCAGTCCCGAGGATATCAAGTAGTTACCTAAATTTTTTAATTGCTTTTAAATTGGGATTCAACTTTATTTTCTGCTGGATAGATAGCCAGTTGTTCCAGCCCTACATAAGTTTGAAATACCATCTTTGTCATATATTCTATTTACTTATATGTGGTATGTATTTATAGGTGCAATTAAAATCAGTTTTTCTCTATCAGTTTTTAAATTTTTTTCCATATGAACATTCAGATCATTTTATTAATAAAAAAATCTTCATAGAGATTCTGATAGGAATATAGATACTAAATTTGGGAACAACGGCAATTTCATTAAGTGTTTTCATCCAAGTTTTTTTAGATCTTGTGTTTTATGTTCTTAAATAAGATTTTGTGGTTTTAAACCAAGACAGGAAATTCAAAATCTAATACAAAGAAGATTCTTAAAACTTTTCAGCCAGACAACATGACATCACAAATCAAGTCAATGGACAGATTGGGTGAAATATTTTTTACATATAACATGTTACTATGAATAATATGTAAAGGAGTCTCACAAATTGAGAATAAAAACAAGCAGCTTCATAGACAAGTGAGCAAATGATAGAGATTTGCATTTCACAGATAGTAAATCTGAATATTCAGTAAACATTCAAAAAGATGCATAAAACTCTAGTAGTCAGGATATAGGGTATTTTTTACCATTTCCAACCCACTAATTAGATTGGCAAAAATTAAATAGCACGTTCACATCTGTTCGCAAGATAAAAGGTGTTTTGATCTATTTCTAGTAGAAATGTGAATTGTTTTAGCCTTTTTAGAAAATACCTAGTTACACACAAATTTTTTTTGTTCTTGGAACCTGTCCCATGGTTATAAAATTACTACTATATTATCCTTACCAGAATGCTATTACATTATAAAATAGAGGTCCATAATAAGCAGCATGGTATGAAATAATCATGTTTCTATAAAATTAAATGCATATATACATTCTTTTTTAAAAAGAAAGGAAGTCATATTCCACATGATACATTTGGCTTTTAAGCTTTCCTTGGCTTATTCGTTGACCCAGGTTGGTCCAGATGGTCTGATGAAGTTAAATGGCTCAGCCCTTAACAATGAGTTCTTCACTTCAGCGGCCCAAGGCTGGAAGGAAAGACTCTCAGAAGGTAAGTGTTCTGCCTTATATGTATGAGGGCATATTGGCACCTCTGTGCCTCAATGGGTCTTTGAATAATTTTGGAAGGCAAAGGACAGGATGTTGCCTACCTATCCTGTATGAAACACATTACAAGACTTTTAGACTTTTATTCCTCTTTTCCTAATCAGATTTGGCTCTAGACGGTCCAACAATATGTTTATTTAGGGATTTCAGGTCACCTGAGAAACTAAGAAATAAATGTTTAGGCCCTATTCCTAAAGATTCTGATTTAGTAATTCTAGGTTAATGCTTAGGGATTGAAATTTTAATAAGCTCCCTAATAAGCAGAGTATAGAATTAGAGTTATTTTATGGTGCTATGAATTATGGTTTGGTAAGCAGTAATAGAACCTCTTTATTACTGCCCAACCTCAATAAAACTAACAGTAAAAAGAATCACTAAGAACTTTTTTAAAAAACAGCTTTATTGAGAAATGTTTCATATACTATAAAATTTACCCATTTGAAGTATAAGTTCAGTGGCAGTCAGAGTGTTTTAATAAATGTAGATTATGACCGAGAATTGCCAACTGTGGTCACTGGTTTGCCATGTATGTGGTCACATGGTTTGCCATAATTCTGATCTACCAAATTTACTGAGGGTAAATTATAAAGTATAAAAAATGATTGATTGCATTTGCATAGTATGTAGTATCAGTCACTATTTTCAGTTCTTAACCCTGACTGCTCATTTTAACACCTGCGGTGTTTTTAGAAATGCTGACGTCCAGGTTCCACTCTCAGTGAATTTGATTTAATTGATCTAGGATGGTGCCCGGGCTTCAATGTTTTGTTTCTTTAAGTTCTCTCAAGTGATTCTAATACATTAAGTGATTCTAATAATGCAGTCATTATTAAAACTACTGGCTGTATTATTTTTATTTCACATCTTTCATTTGTGATTTGGTACACATTGAATAAAAAGACTAGCACTTGAAAAGTCACACGAAGTTTTGCCAAAGAATAGCTTAAAACAAGTGTGAGAAGCTTTAAAATAAATTTATGAGAAGAGTATTAGGAAGGTTATTTGTTGGTTACTTTTTGTCAGATCATTGACAAATTTAATTGACTAGCTAACTTATATCGTTGAGTTTTCCCTTCCTATTTTTCTTTTTAGAATGAATTCTGTATGGAAGGGTTCTCTTTGGTCCCTGATTACTTTAGTCCTTTCTCTTTCTTAAAGATTTTCTTGAGCAGAGACCCCTTTTTTTCTGAAAGAATTGAGATCACGTAAGGATTTTAAAATACACCTGTTACCAGTATCTTTTTTGAAGAACAATTTGGTAAAGAATTTATGTCCTCCAACCCTCCAATTTTTAAAAGTAGGTATTATCAACAAGGACATCTTGATTTTTATCAGTTACTTTTTTTGCATATTAGCAGTCAGTGCTGTACCTATAGTCATGTGATTACATTTTTATAAGCAGCAGAAATTTTGAACACTACACATGCGAACAGAGTTCAGTACTTTTTATTCCTCATTCTGTTATGCACAGTAGACTCAACAAAAAAGCAGAAACTCTGAATTGGATTTTGACAGCCAAATTCTTTTCCTCCTTGTATGCCAGGACTGTCCTCTAAAACTTTGCCTTTCCCTCTTCTTACTCCCAGGAGGTCTTAAATTCAAGTCTGCCGTTTCCACCTCTATTTCCTGGAGACCTGGGTATTAGAGCATTAAAGGGAGCAGTCTTTCTGGGCTACAGGTTTGAAGATAGCATACCAAGCACATTGACTGTTCTCTGCTGATGGAGTGGGAGGGACTGAGGTGGTTGCTAGTATATGCAAATAAATGGCATATTCAGAGTAGCTAGGTCTTTGGCATGTTAAGTGCCTTGTTGCTAGGGCACTAGCCTGGTCCAGTTTCTGGAACAATTAGAAAACTGACAACTCCAAAATAACTCCCTGCCTTTTTACTGGAACCTCAAATGCCTTTAATCTGGGCCTCAGCTGTTCATTATGCATAAATTGTTCAGTTAGACATGAAAGGCCTAAAACACAGGTTGCTTTAGAGAAACAGAACTTTAAAATAATAAAATACCCCATAGCATTATTTACTGAAAGCTCATGAGTATTTTTCCAGTGGAAAGCAATTACAGATTCAAGAATAGTGATGAAATAAATCTGTAGGGAATATGATGTTTGGAGCAAGAAGCAGATAGTACAAGGAAAGCCCAGAGAAGAGACCCAGTTGACCTCAGCTGCATTCTGAAAACTACATGGAGTGGTGTGCAAGTATTTTTATTCCACCTAATGGCACTTCGGTACTCCCTTACAGGGAAGAATTTGGGGAAATTTCTGTTGCTTTCATAGAATTGTATTCTGACTCCTTCATGAGTCTTTCAAGATTTACAAATAATTAAAAGTTGCAAACAGCATATTTCTATTGAATATCCTTTTTGTTGTTGTTGTTGTTATAGGTGAGTTTACACCTGAGATGCAAGTGAGAATTCGTCAAGAGATTGAGAAAGAGAAAAAAGTAGAGCCATGGAAAGAGCAATTCTTTGAAAGCTACTATGGTCAGAGGTAATGTCAAGATAAGCGCTATAAACCAGATGTTAATTTCTGCATGTCATGTGGTGCTTCATCTTAGCGTCTTTCCAGAAAATTGAGTCTTCAGCTTCTATTTTTTCACCACTTCTTTTTTACTGAGAATTTTTTTTTTCTTTTTTGAATCTCAGGTGCACAGAATTGGATCATTCATAATTTCTGACTCCTAGCATATTACTGTTGTGGGTGGGATGATTTCTTAAAAAAAAAAAAAAGATTTTGTTATCTTGCATTAGAGTCCCTTTCTGTGAATAGATTAGCTTTTCTTATAAGTAACTTTATAAGATAAAAGAATATTGAACTTCTGTATATTTTTTATAGTAGTTAATTATCTCACAATATAACTTACCCAGAATCATTAAGGAGTCCTAGAATCCTATAACATGGACCGTTTTATCTGATACGTATTTAAACAATCTCTCCTCCATAGAAGGCACTCGGAGAAATGTATGTTGCTGAAACCAGATAATAAACCCTGTTCTCAAGGGTTTAAATCAGTTTTTTTCTAACATGAAATCTAAATGAAATCTTAATGGGCACATCTAAATAGGTAACAGTAGAACCTGTATAGTTGGAAACAGATTGAACACCCAGAGTCATATTTGTTTGTTAGTCTCCCTTCCTTCCTTCTGCATACCTAATGGCAGCCCTGAAGGAGATGCCATAACCACAACTTGAGAACTATTGACTCTCTTCTTATCTCCAAAGAGTGTTCATTGATCCCAACATGGCCATTTAAGAAGTGATTCCTATTGAGATTAAGAGTCTCATACACTGATTTGTCTATATTCTTGGTATGAAATGATGGTGTGTATACATTTAGACCATTATTACAGATATCAGGTATTCCATGAATATTGTTCATTTCCTCCTGATTAGGCATGTAGAGCACTGCAACAGTTCATGAGTCCTTCAGTTTTCAGGTCTTACTTTTTGCCAGCTTTCATAGGACTTTTTGATTACTGTCCATTTTCATCCTTAGCCATTCCATCTCAGAGGTGCAGTACTGATTATTTAAAGTCACCAAAGAGGGCTACCTTGTTTTTGCCTGTTAACCAGTATTCTAAAACATTAGAAGGAGTCTCTAATGACCCTACAGAGTAGCCTCTCTCTTAGCCAGAACACACTGTGAAAATCCCAGTTGGCCTTCACTCCCAGAATAGCTGAGATACACTCAATCTCAGAATTTTAGAGCTATGCCACGTGAAATTTAAACACACTTTCCAAAAACTCAAGAGTTGTACTTCCTGACCTCTGGAGAACATTGACAGACAGCTTTCCTACTATCCCTTCTGGGTCCTCTAGATTTCTCGGGCCAGCCTTTCTGCAGGTACTGCAGAGCAGAGTTGATCACAGTCCAAAACCACCATCTCGGGGTACATGGGCCTTGGCCTTCTTTCACTTCCCTTGTGGGTGGTCTGTGATGCCTGTCCCTAGACTGTGTGACCCCTTTATAACAGGAAGTAATAATAATAATTAACATTATTGAGCTTTTATTACGGGCTAGATACTGTTCTAAGTACTTTATATGCATTAGCTTAATTATCATAGTAGCACTGTGAAGTGATTAACTTCAATGTACAGTTGAAGAAATTGAGGCACAGAAGGCTAGTCACTTAATATCACATGGATAGTGTATATAGAGCCGGAATTTGAATCTGGCTCCTAAACCTTCACTAATAATGATAATGGTAAAGATAATAGATGAAGAATACCTATTGTCAAGTTCTTCTAGGCATTGCCATATACATTATCTCTCATAATGCCTTCAATAACATGGGCCATTTCTCATCTATAATATTTGTTCCTTCCACCTTTTAGTTCTGGCCTGAGCCTTGAGGATTCAAAGAAATTGACAGCTTCACCCAGTGATCCCAAAGTAAAGAAAACCCCAGCTGAGCAACCAAAATCCATGCTTCCTTCAGAGGTCTCTCTTGTTAGTATAGTCCCAGTAATTCCCCAGTTAGAGTCTAAAGAAGAAATAGTACATATGCCATCACCAGTCAGAAAAGAAGAGCACGAAAGCCAAGATAACATGCAGCCAAACTCCAAATCCACAGAGCCCTTACTTTCCTCAACTAGCGATACAAATGAGCTTAGCAGCGTTCTTCCCATCAAGTGCCCAAAGGATGAGGATGTCTTAGAGCAGAAGCCAGTTGCCTCTGCTGAACAGGAGTCTGAGAAAGAGAATCATCTCACTACAGCTTCTAATCATAACAAAAATGAAAGCCAAGAAGCTTTAGTTACATCTCCAAGCAAACCCAAGAGTCCTGGAGTGGAAAAACCGATAACGAAGCCCACAGTAGAAGCAGGTCCACAGGAGACCGCTGTGAAAGAGCCTCCGTCAACTCTGGTTGATCACAGCCCAGAAAGCCTCAAGAGGAAGTCTTCTCTCACCCAAGAAGAGGTTTCTATGAGCTGGGAGAAAAGGCCGCGTGTCACTGAGAATCGGCAGCACCAGCAGCCATTTCAAGTCTCGCCACAGCCCTTTCTCAATAGAGGGGACAGAATCCAGGTGCAAAAAGTACCACCTCTCAAGGTAAGAGAATGGAAAGAACTGAAAAAGAGAGATGGTCTGAACACTAAGTTTCTGGTCATACGTACCAAATTTCAAATAATTTGTGTTATTTCTTAATGCAGAAGCAGTTTCATATATATTCAATATGCTTGTAACTGTGATCTTATGTTAACAAAGTTATGAATAGCCATTTAGAACTGCATTCCTACAGATCTTCGTTGATGTTTGAATAAGTAAGTTACCTGGATATCTAATGGAAACCACCTCCACCCACCACCCTGCTGTCTGTCTACTCTTCTCTCTTAAGGCAGTTATGGAAATTCTTTTGTCTCATGTGACCAAAAAAGAAGTATAATGATAAACATGAGGAGGCCATTGGTATGATCAAGAGGTCATATCTTTGCACCAAAAGCCATGCTATTTAAGTGTACCTTGGCCCGTTTCTTACTGCCATAACTGATCTGATGTTACTTCCTGTGAGTCTAGAGCTACCTTTTTAGTTCCATCCTTTTAAAGGAAATGTCTGTGGCTACCATGAGTCACCACTGATTACTTGAAGGACATTGGTAAGATGTAGTAGCCTTGCTAAGTTCTACTGCTTAGATTATGCCCTTAATTTCCATTTTAACTTTATATTGCTACATGTCAAGTCTTTTAAATTTTTATAGCTGTGTCTCTAAGTATATAAAGACTGCATCAAACCAGTAGTAAGCCCTTGAAAACCCAAACACATTTTTACTTCTGATCTAAAGGTTTATTAATACTTGGGGGCTGTGCTTAAATCAGTTTGTGGTCTGTTTATTCATTTAATAAGTAGTATTTATTTATTGATATGTTTTATTAATAGTATTTATTAATACTATTGTGTCTTCTGTGAGCCCAGGCACTGGGTGTTACTCATTTACATTAGGATATAAGTAGAAAAATAAGCCAAATAAAACTACTTTTTTCCCTTTTTTATTTAACTTAGATGAACCAGTTAGTTCTATCAGGAAATACCCCTGGGAAAGATCATTTACTTGTACTTGACCCATTTGCACACCATGTGACTCCTCTTGTTTTGCTTCTTATTACTAATAGTATGATGTTGTTCATTACTTTTTATTTCTTATGGTTTCAGCACCAAGGAATCTCTTTTTTCTAATTTTTCAATACTTTTATCCCATTAACATACACTGTCATGCTTTACCAAAGATTCTGATTTATATGACAATCTTTTTTACTATTCTTATAAAAATATTAGAAATCTTTCTTTTAATGAATGTCATTCACAACTTATCTCCAGACCCAAGAGCTGTATTACAGTTTAGGTTTTACTTTGTATAAATGACAGATGTGTGCCATTGGGTAAGATCTATCATTTCTGTTTTCTCAGCTATAAAGAACTGAATTACATATTCACTTTGCTTTCTCCTCATCCAGTGAGGCTCGACACTAAAATCTTAACTTCACGGTGACCAAATTAATATTATTTAACCTTTTTCCTATTACTTGTTCCTCATTCTCCCCCAAAAGACTTTCTACCAGAGGTTGCTTTAGTTAACTCTTTTACCTTAGACCCTATCTCAAATCTCACTTTCTTAGACAAAGCTTAAATTAGTTTGTAACAGAACAAAACCTTTTAAACAAAATTTAAGTCGAAAAACAAAAATTGACTTTTATTAAATACGTTATAACGTATTTTTCCATCTCTTTCTCTCTTCCCCATCTA